TTCCTGGCCCCCTGACCCCAGGTTGGCCCCCAAGTTGGTCTTGCAGATGTTGGCTCAGTCTAGAAGGAGCTGCCTGGGGACCAGACCATGAGGCACAGACAGTGATTCCCCTTGGGAGCTTCACAGACACAGGGATACTTGGGACCCTCAAGACAAAGCCTGGGACTGTGGGAGAATAGCTGGAAAGGGCCTGTGTTGGTTCTCGGCACTGAACAAGACTCTACTCCAGAACTAGTGGCCTGACGCATATCAGTCTTCACTGAACTCTCATGGCTCCTGTGGCAAGGTATGGAAAGTACTAGATGGGGGTGGTGCTGGCTTGGAGCCTCTCACAGTACTGCAATCCAGTGACAGCTGGAATTTAAACTCCTGCTTATTCCTGGGCAGAGGTACCTACGTGCTACCCCCACAGTGCTGTGCTTGCTTTGTCCTCATTGGCCCTTCCTTCCCTGCAGCTCTCTGCCCACTGAACATCACCAACATGCGCTCTTTCTCCTCCAGGGTCTTATCATTCCCACTTCAGCCTGACTGGTGCCAGCTCTCAGGTGTCAGCAGTTTAGTGGTGACTGTTCTTGAATTGTAACAGCGGAAGCAGAGGTCCTGGCATTTAGCCCAGTGTGCACTGCGTACAGAGGAGGGAGAGGGGTCAGATGCAGGGTTAAACTTTGAGGAATTTATACTTAGGGTGGAAGTCAGACATAGTCAATGAGAATGAAAATACAATAGAGACTGTTCAGAACACATACAGAAAATGACTAGTATAACAACAAGTAAATCTGTTGCTCATTTTGCTCAAAGGAGGGAGGAGAGGGAAGGGAAAGGATACAAAAGGGAAGGGAGAAAGAGAGAGAGAAGCTGATTGAGAAGCAGACTGGTCTCTGGCTGGGATCCAACAACAGTGAGGAGGCTGAGAAGACACCTGGGAAGTAAACAGAGCTGAGGTTACCGTTTTCTTGATGCTGCTTTTGTTTTATTTTATTTTAGCTTTTGCAGTACTAGAGATTGAAACCAAGGCCTTTGTAGGGAGCTACATCTCCAGCCCTTTTTACATTTTGAGACAGTCTCACTAAATAGCTAAGTTGCCCAAGCTGGCCATGAATTCACAAACTTCCTGCCTCAGCCTTCTGAGTAGCTGGGATTACAGACCTGTGCCACCATGCACAACTCCTGTCCTTATTTGGAATGTCTTGTGCTGCTCTACATAGCCAGCAGCCCTCTGTTCTTTAGGTTTATTCTAAGGCATGAAGGAAACAACTCTTCCCATGTCATTCCTCTTCCTACACGCTGACATTCTGTGTCCATGCCCATCACCACCACCTAATGACACACACGCCACCCGCTCTGGGCCAAGCTACAACTTTTCCCTTTGATGCAGGCGGGGAGGGATAGGAAATGGCATTTCATTATGATCCTCTGTCTAGATGTTAGTCATGGCATATTTTAGAGCAAGCCCGGAGGGAGTGGAGATAACAATGTCACTCCAAAATCAAGAAAGCCATTGCACAACACCAACAGTCTCCTGTCTCCTTCACAGTTGTTGATTTGCAGATGTCTTGCTTTGGGATTGCCAATACACGCTTTTGCTGCTAGTCTAGATGTTTTCTAAATCTAAAATATTATTGTTTTGGTTCATTTTTAGGGCTTTGGAGAAGGACTGATTACCTGACTCAAGTTAGAGAGACCTTTTTAGTTCGTGTTTTGTTTCTTGCCCTTGTGATAACCTGAGCAGATCATTTGACCTCTCATTGGTCCTTCCCACTGTTCCTCTTTGTAAACCTTGTCACTAAGTCACCACTTTCTTACTTCCAGAATAAGAAAAGTTCCTAGGCTTTAGTAGATGATGTCATTCAATAATTCTTGGAGTGGATGGAAATACTTCCTCCTTTGGGTGCTTCCTAATTACCTTATTTTCTGTTCTACTTTGTAACTTCAATTTTCCCTTTTCCTCAGTCTTCTCAATTGCACTCTTCTCCACATTTCTCTCTCTCTCTCTCTCTCTCTTTTTCTGTCATGAGCTAAGCTACATCCATTATGGTGCATAATATTTAAAGGAACTCAGTCCTAACTTATTCATCTTTTGAAATGCAGTTCTATAATTGTATTTCAGCCAGTCATCTCTTTTTCTATGACTTTTAAAGTCTGTTAATGTTCTAATATGCAGTCATTCATTCTGGTTTAATAATCACATGAAAACTTGCTGTGTATGCACTCTAGCAAAACTATTATCATTAGAAATCAAACCTAGTGAAGAAACATGATATGACTAATACAATTTAATAATAGTTATCATTTAAATCTTTCTTCTATGTATTGCCTATAATTTTAATGACTACAATAGTTCCCAGTATATAACACCATTTCATGGGTAAGGAAATTTATAATCAAAGATCCAAGTAGATTTTGTTTTGTTTTACTCTTGTGTAGATATACTCAATTTGTAAATGCAGCATTCCTGTTTCAGAAAACTGTGTCTCCTTCCTTCTCTGTCCATATGGCTGTCATAGAAAAGTCATGTTGTGAGACAATCCACTGGGGCTTAGATCTAGGAGGCCCCCCCCAGGCTCATGTGTATAGATGTAAGGATTTTGAAGGTGAAGGGGCTTTATTCATCAATGGATTAGTACATTGACTAGTTCAGAACCTCTGTGCTATTAGGAGGTGGTGTTGAATGAGAGAAACAAAAGAGTACAGGTGGGGAATACTTAGTGGGTCATGGCCCCTGAAATAGGAAGAGATCTAAGGTCTAGTGATGCAGGCACCTCCATGATATGCTGTGGCAGAGACTCCACAAGCTCACTCTTGGTTACCACAAGGACACTTCAGAACATGTTTGCAGGGTGACAAATCTCTCTGTATGCTAGTTGTAAGTTGTCTGTATAGCTTTTCAGTCTTGGCACAATTTCAAACGTTGCCTCCTCTTTCCCCTTGTTCACTGATTGAGTCAGGATCTGATACTGTGTGGCCACCTTGACCTTCAGGTGACAACGAGATCAGTGGCTTTGTGACAGAAACAAGCAACTTAATTGTACCTAAGAAGAAATCTTAACTATGCCCAACAGTAGATCAAAAACTTACAAAACACCGAAGCTATCTAGAAAATTGAGAAAAAATAATATTTTCAAGGAATGGGCATAGATAATTTTCATAGATAATCTCTAATTACTATGCTTGGGGATTCCGAGTTTACCCAGGACAGATGTCAAAAGAAAAGGAAAGGAAAGGAAAGAAAAGAAAAACAATAAAATTCCCAGTTAATTTGGCTGAACAAAACAACTTTCAAATATTAAGCTAATTATTTTCAATCTATGAAAGTGATTTATCCTTAGTCCTCAAACATAGGCATGTTTGTTATCCAGAAACCTTTTTTCTGTCTAATCCAAATTCCTCTTGTATTGCAATTCTTTCCAAGCCCATGTTCATTTATTTTGCTCATAGAAATGGCCACCTGGTTTCTCTTTGTCTACAAATTCTACAGTTTTAGTTTTCCTCCATAGGTTCTAGCATGTATCCTTTAATGAGCCTTAAAAAAACACCCCAGTTTCTACTGACTTAGTAGATATTTTCCAAGCTGGTACATATGCCATCTGGACTTCCCAAACAGGATTTGGTGGAGTGAAGTTCATCTTACACTTCACTTGTGTATTCCTATGAAAGGCAACACACTACCTGTCAGCCTTATGTCTGCCCTCATTCATCCCAGGTGTGGATGTATGTGGTGCCCAAGAAAGGAGCATCATGAAACACATTGGGAACATAGTTGCTGTCCATGGGCTGGGTTCATGTGTGTGAGTGAAGGGCAGGTTGGAGAACAGTCTTCTTGGTGGTGCTAATAAGCAGGCCTGAGCTGGGTTACCCAAGGTGCCAGACTCCCAGAGACGGGAAACAGAGGTCTCCAAGTGCTGGGCTGTGCTGGAGTCTGCCTAATGCCAAAGCAAGGAGAGGCTGATGATGCGGGAGAGAGGGCCCATGTGCTCTGGGCATAAACATGGTGGGAGATAAACCTGAAGACAACTGACGTGCTCGGGCCAAGCAAGTAAGAGAAGGCATTTGTTTTTCTCTTTTCTTCTTCTCAAGTTTCTTTGTGCTTTTTCTAAAATTCAGACATCTAAACAGTTGCTGAGTTGGGCAGAAGGACGTGGTGGCCAGTGTTTGACCTTTGTGTCCTCTTCTGAGGACTGTTTACAAAGTTGGACTGCAGTGGAAGGCCTCCTGATTAAACAACTATGTGCACCCCCTGCAGAGCTCAGAATTGTCTTGAATATGAAAATATCAAGTTCTGACACCACTAGGCAAATCACTGTTGACTTCAAGTATTTAAAAACTCAAGATGGATGGCACTTTTGGTGGTTTAAACGGACCTAACTTCATCTACCTGTTCAGGAGTGTATACATAGAATGAGTACCCAGGTCATCCAGAATCCACAGACACCACTGAAAGTCAGCTTTCCATAAGGAAGTGCTTAAAAGAAATGGGGCCAGGGTAAAGCAAAGATTAAGGGATAGGGAGAAAGCTTGTAATTGCATTGCTACCACAATCTACAAAACCAGACTCGGATTTCTGTAGAAGTTTTGGAGTTGAAAGTGCTTCAAATTATTTACAGAGAGCAACTACATGAGTACTACATTGACAATTTCCAGCATGATTCCCCTCAAGGTTATGTGACAAGGCTGCGGGATAATGTTTGGGTATTTTATGCATGTATGCAACTGTCACTTTGCATTGCAAAATTAAAAATTCCCAGAATGTCCACAGGAGAGTACAATGTAGCTTTTGACAGGTCAAGTAAAATGTCCTCCCTGTCTTTGTCCCTGCCTCATTATTTCTCCTACCCTTCTAGTTCACTAAGCTGTAGGAACTGAAATCATTCTTGGTGAATAATGTGGGGCCATGCTGAAAATTTGTGACTGAGAGCTGGACCCTCGTCATCACCACGTACTTTGTCACTGAGACAGGGTAACCCATGGTAACTAAGCTCCTGCCAGTGAAGGGGCAGATAGTCCCCCCTCCTTACTGCTCTATAAAAGGGACCCTACCAGCTTCTGGCTCTCAGCCTGGTGCAGGTGCAGGTGCAGGAAGGAGAGGCCAGATCTCGGGGCAGAGCACACAGGCCACGGCAGAGGAAGGCTAGCATGCCACCCAACCTCAAACTCCAGTGCCACTTCGTTCTCATCTTCCTGGCTGCTCTGAGAGGGAATGGCAGGTACCTAGAGGTGAGCCATCCCTGGACTGACCCGCCACACCCTTCCTGTGAGGGTGGCCGGGCTGCCGGCGGCTGCCTCTGCAAGCAGCCTCTGATGGGGTTAGCTTTTTCCTCTGTCTCTGCCGGGTCCTTTCCCGACTTTGCCTACCTAGACTTGCTTCTCCCTTCCTCTGGTCATCCCTGGTGCCAACCTTCCTTCGGCAGCGGGAGAGGTCCTGGTGTGGCAGAAAGGCCCGGGGAACTTCCTGGCATCACTCTGGGGACAATGATTTCCTCTCCGTTCACTTTCCCCTGCGCCTGGTCCACTTTTCTATATACGTCTCCAACTTTCTGGACTGACCCATTTTCCTTGCCAGCTCCAAGAAGCGGCGGACTACGACCCTTTCCTGCTGTTTAGCGCCAACCCGAAGCGGGACGTGGCCGGGGAGCAGCCTTACAGCCGCGCGCTGCGTGAGTGGAGGTTCCTGGGCTCCCTTGGGTCCCGGGGGGCGGGCGTGGCGTGGCCGGTACCTCGGGACGCAGCTCCGTCCCCTCCTTCCGGGAGAGGACACTCGCCCAGGGCGCTGGAGCTGGGGCTGCAGAGCCCGAGCCGAGCGCGGGGAGCACAGCACCCCAACCCCATCTCCGCGTCCCCAGGGTGCCTGGACATGCTGAGCCTGACTGGCCAGTTCACCTTCACCGCGGCGCGGCCGCAGCTGCACTGCGCCGCCTTCTTCATCGGCGAGCCGGAGGAGCTGCTCTCCATACACTTCGACCTGGTGTCCATAGACTGCGCGCGCGGGGACATCCTGAAGGTGAGGCCCCTGCCTGCGAAGCACGAGCGAGTAGGGAGCAGGCGGGGTGTGGGGAGTCAGAGAGGGACAGGGTTCTGCGCCCCGACTCTGGATGACACCCTCCTCGGATGCTCGAGACCCCAAGGAAGCCCTCGCCACAGCAAGCTGGCCTGGTGCTTCTGGGATTTCCAAACGCTGAAACTTGAGAAGCGACGTCCTGTGGTGGAATCTGAAGCTGACAAAATATGAAGCAAAGGCGCTCTCTCGGGAGCTCTGGAGTCTACCGCGCGAGCCGGGGTACAGTAGTAAGACACCCCACGACCACCACCACCGCGCCCCCGCCGTGAGTTCTGTGCCAGCCGCTCTGGTCAGGGGCTGTCTTCACAGCCTCTCTGTATGGAGCCTTGAGGCACTGGCTGCTAGGGGGAGGCTGGGGAGAACAAGCTCCCCAACCTCACAGCACCCCTGCCGGCCTCCTGCAAAGCAAGGGATCGGCTTGGACCCTCTCTTGTCTATCAGAAACAGGATTGGAGCCTGTCAAACACATCAGAGGTAATTCCAATGGGTCATTTTGCTCATGTGGACTAAGTTAGACTCATTAAATTGGACAGCTGAGGTGATTTTGAAAGCAAAGTCAATCAACCCCTATCCTTTGTCCAGCTCCGATGGAGAGTGAGGCCAAGTTCCAGGCGACATTTCCCCTACTCCCAATGTTCCTGTCCCCAGCACTCCTTCATATTTTAGAATAATACGGGATGATAGGGGGAAAAAAATGGGAAGTAAATGTTTGCAGCTACTGCCAGATCAAGTTGAGGCCCCTGTTTTTTCTTTCAATACCTATTTTTGAAGTACTTTGTTCATATTCCGATGACTACAGAAAAGAAAGAAGCTGAATGAACCCCAAATTGTTCTAAGGTTGAATTCTTCTGAAGATGGGATAAGGAGAATAAGTGTAAGAAAGCTTACTTATTTTGGCAGCTTTACAGAAAAAGCATCACTTGCAACCTGACAGTCCGAATACATAGAGATGAAAGGCAAGTGGTTGGGGGAGTGTGGCCTGTCAACTCCTCACTTGTAGTCCAAGGCCCAGTGCCTGACACCTTTCCCCCTGTTCAACACACCCGTGATGTCAGGAGCTGATGAGTGACCATCTATGTCTGTATTATTTTTATCTTTATTTTTTGTAAGGTATTTGATGGCTGGATCCTCAAGGGAGAGAAATTCCCCAGTTCCCAGGATCATCCTCTCCCCACCACTGATCGGTACATGGACTTCTGTGAGAGTGGCTTCAGCCGAAGGAGCATCAGATCCTCTCAGAATGTGGCCATGATATTCTTCCGGGTCCATGAACCAGGAAATGGGTTCACATTAACCATAAAGACAGATCCCAACCTTTTTCGTAAGTGACCTCCCTGCTTTCTCAATGGAAGGACAAGATTTGGGGATCAAATTTCCTTTGCAAGGGTAATATTACCCCACAGACTAAGGGAATATAAACTGAGAAATTACCTGAATGGAAATTCATTTGTAATTAGATGTGACCCAAAGGATATTGTCTGTTATTAGGAAAAAAAAATTGCAGTTTTCCATGTACTGTCCAGGCTAGAATAGTAAAAAGCATGATGGCTATAATTCTTTTTCCTCCAAAGTCTTCTTATCCTAAATTACTACAATGCATTCAGGGAGAAACCTTTAATCTCCCAAGTCATTTTAGTGATCTATGATAAGCTTGGAGGATCGGATAGGAAGGTGTGGTCTTAGAACTAGCTACAGAGGCAAAGGCTGGTGGGCTGCACGTCAAGTGCCGAGTCCTGAGCAGAGGATTGCACCAGAATGCCCTTGTGCTGCCCTCTGATGCTAACACCACTACCTAATCTAGCTCTTTTCTGATGGAGATAAGTGAAGATTATGCTATCAAACTGTGCAGCCCAGGCCTAAAGCATGTACTTTTTTTTTCTTTTGGTGGTTCTGGAAATTGAGCCCAAGCCTTCACATTGGGCTATATCCCAGCCCTTTTTATGTTTCAGTTTGTGATAGAGGGCTACTAAGTAGCTAAGTTGACCAAACCAGCCTTGAACTTGTGATCTTGCCTCAGCCTCCCAGAGCATAAAACACACACCATTTTAATCAGAATGAGTTCATCTGCTTATTTTTCCCCATTAAGAAAAAACACAAATCTTTCTAAAAATCAGAAAAAACAAGCATATCATTAATTTTAGGTTGCATATAATAGTGTTCATACTAATACTTCATGTAGTTGAAGAACAGGGCATAATCTGTCAAAGAATAATATACTACTAATCTTCTGATTTAAAAAAAAATTTTAAAAGAATCTCTCCAAAAAAGCTGTTTCTGAGGAATGGAGCAGAATGTATCTAGGAGAATAAATGAAATGTATGGCCTGAATTTTGTTTGATAAGAAGTCAGAAGAATCCTTCTAGGATTATGAAGGAATTTCAGTTCTTTTTTGAAAGTAAGTGTAATTAAAAATAAAAGAAAGAGGCAAGAGGTAGATCTGATCTGTTCTCATCAATCAGAATTTTTAGATCTATAGTCATAAAAATGCAAATTTTGATGCTTGTTTTTCTTAGCTAGAAGGATAAATATATTTTAAGTATAAATACAAAAAGTTTCAGAAATTCTTGAGAATTAACATTAAAATTTTATCCTTTAGTCAACATCAATCAGCACTGAACATATATTTATCAAATTTAAGTTCGCTGTCTTTTTTCTTAGCCTGTTGTGTCATATTATAAAATACTTAAAATTGTTTACTTTATTATTTTAAAAATAACGTTATGGCTCAAATTCAGGATGAAGACTTCAGGCAACATTTTTTGTTTGTTTGTTTTTGAGTCAGTTTCACTACATAATTCAGGGTGGTCTTGAACTCACTAGGCAGCCCAGGCTGGCCTCAAAATTGTGGTAGCCCTCCTGCTTCAACCTTCCACATGCTGGGATTACAGGAATGTGCCACCATGCCCAGTTAGACAGAGTTTGAGTTCTGGGCTCATTTTACTCCTTGATTCACCAGATTCCTAGCTCAAATACAGACCCTCATTAACAGATGTGTTCCTAGATCTACCACCAGCTAGGGTTGCTTTCTGGACAATGATTCATGTCTTGTGATGTTATAAATAAAGTAAACCCTGGAGATGAAGGTTAGGAGCCTTGAAGCCATCTGATGGTTTTTTATTTCCCGACTTCTTTCTTTCTTGCAACTGTCATTGCAAGACATATTCTCTTCCCGGTACAAGACCTCGAGACTATGAGGAGCAAGCTAGAGTAAGGATACAATAAATATCTATAAAACCCCATTAAATCTAATAATGCAAATGCAACCTCTTTGTTTCTGCCAAGCTTGCAACGTCATCTCTCAGACCCCAAAAGGAAGGTTCACCCTGGTGGTTCCTCGCCAGCATCGGAACTGCAGCTTCTCCATTATTTATCCAGTGGTGATCAAAATATCGGATCTCACCCTGGGACATGTGCACAGTCTTCGGTTAAAAGTGAGTGGCTCACTTGCTTCCTACGCATTTGGTGCGGCCATAGCTTTAGCACAGCAGGTGCAAACTGGCAGAGCAGGTTGCTTGGGCTTTTAGCTCTCAGGCATGCATGTGCTTTTCCTGACTGCTTTTACCAGTTCCCTGCTATTTCAGTTATGCTGCGAGTCACACACTCAGGTGCCCATTCTGACTGCTTCCACACTCTCCTTGTGATGTAAGGAGTGCTTTCAGTTGGTAAAGTTGTGGTATGTAATTACAATTGAACTCTCTTGTACTTGTGTCTTTTATAAAATTCTCTCCTAGCAGAACCCAGCATGAGTCATCTACACAGCTGCTTTTCTGATTATTAGAATCTTCTTTTGACACAAAGGAAGTATCTCATGGACAGAACTATGGTAGGAAGGGATGTTAACCACAGCATACAATGTGAGAATGGATGTTTTTATATTGCAAAAGGCAGTAAAATTTTGAAGATTTTGCATTACATTTAATTTAATACATTTTTCCTCAAACATATTAGTTGAGAATCCCTGTGAACTTGGTTTTAAATGAGCTTCTGAATAACCTTAAAATGAATGCAAGACTTGAACACATTCACTGGTGTGGTAGCGCCTTCCCTGTGAGTCATCCTCATTTCCTTTTTTTTGCTCATCTGCCTAGGCTGATAACTCATGTATTTGCTGCTATCAAATGTGGTCATAGTGCCTGATCAGATTTTAGTGAAAGTCAAATAAATAGGACCATGAAGGAGACAGGAAAGTATATCCAATTTCCTCTAGTCCTAAATAAGCCTGTGCTTACCCTGGTATAAGATTAATCCTTTGATAAGGATGACTTTGAATGTCTTTGATCCAGCTTGATATTTTTCAAGTCATTCTTGATGAAAAACTAGAAGATGGGAGGTGTCTCCCCGCAGACTGTGAGAGTTATCCTTTAGGTATTGAGTCTACAAGAAAAAAAATTGGTGCTTCTCCTTGACAATTAAGAGTCTATAGTGTTCTGGCCATCTATTTCTTTAAAAGACTTTTTTTTTCAGTGCTTCCTGTATTCAAGGGACCATTTTAGACACTGGAAATGGCCAGCCAGCCAGATGGATCTTTTCCCTGACAGCCTGCATCTAACGGAGTGGGCCAGACAAAATGGGCCTGTATTTTAGACAGTGCTAACTGAAATACAGAAGACACAGCACAATGGTTTGATAGCAACATGGCGGGAGGTGGTGGTTTCAAGAGAAGAACCACCTGGGTTAAGGTGTTGAGGAAAGAGAGACCTGAGTTACAGATCAGAAGCAGCTAGGACCACAGGAAGAACAAGGAGCAGAGGGAATGGTGGACTAGCTGTGTTCCAGAAATGGGAAGAATGCAAAGCAGGGGTGGAAGTGAGAAGCTTAGGGAGATGGTCCAGGTGAGACCACTGTGCTGTCCCTGTTTTTTTTTTTTTTTTTTTTTTTTTTTTTTTTGGTTTTTTGAGACAAGGTCTCACTATGTAGTGGAGACTGATCTGGAACTCACTGTGTAGTCCTGGCTGGTCTCAAACTCACAGGGATCCTTCTGCCTCAGCCTCCCAAGTGCTGGGATTACAGGCATGCCCCATGTTCCTGTTATTAAGTCTGATGGGAAACAGTGAAGTGGCCAAGGTAGGTGGTGATGTGACCAATGTACTGCCCAAGCTCACTTGGCTTCTGTATGGTAAATGGATGGGCTCTCAGACCATGCTGTCTTTCCATAGCCCCAGAGATGTCTCTCTGATGGTCATTATTATAGTTCCTATCTTTAAAAATAAGACTTCTTATGTACTGAAAATTGAGTTCCACCAAGAGAGACTTGGGTTTTGCATACTGTGGCACATGAGTCCAAGTACTCAGTTGCACATTTCTGTAGCAGAGCCAGAAATGATAATGCCTTAGAAGCCCAACAGAAATATCTAGGGGATTACTACTTAGGAGTAGAATCCCAGAGAGGCCCCTACACAACTGGTTTTCCCCACTCTTTATAAGAAAACCTGAGGGGTTTCCGAAGAGGAGGGAGATGTCATTGAACACCAAGGAACAGGTGCACCCAGTTTCCTTGTTTGTTTTAGTGTCTACTTCTTCCCAACTTCCTTTCCCACTTCCTTCAAGCCCACTGTTTCCCTTCAACACCACCTGATAACATTTGAAACCAAAAGAACCAAGTGGAAACTTCAATCTTTAGAGATGTTCCCCTTGGACATTATCTACTCAAGGGAAAGTCAATTAAGTTTTTTTTTCCTTCGTGTCCAAATAGCTTCTTTAACTCTCAACTCAAAAACATGAAGCCTTTTGCACAGGGAAGCTAATTAAATATTTCAACATTTGGTGAAATTATGGGTAAAGTAAGCATAGAACCTTGCACATAGTAAAAACTTTAAATGTTCCCTCTTGCCTGCCTTCATTAGCCAAACAGTTGCCATTCTTTTTTTTTTTCCCCTAGTTTGTGGTTTAGTTCTAGCTCAGTGTCTATCTGGCTGTGTGCTTATGTAAGTGCTCATGTGCTTAAAGTTCTTGGTTTTAGAGTTTGGTTCCTATGTGTTAGGGTTTGTGTGATTCACTTCTGGCACCCGTCACCCTCCATAGGTCTCTCGATTATGCTTCAATGAGAAAAGTAAACCAGTGACATGAATTGTGGGGAGTGGCACAAAGTAAAAATTCAGGGGGCCTTATTAAAAATTCATTACGAATTTCAAGACAGAGAGCAGTAAGTGAAACTTGGGATCCTTCTGAGCACAGCCCTATGCGTTACTGCCTGTGACACAGCCCTGGTCACAGGAGGGACCCTAAAGTCATCAACAGAGGGTGACAGTGGCTGCTTTTTTTCTGTGGAAAACTGAGGCTCAGAAATTGCTGTGGGCAAGTCTGGAAAGGATCAAGGGAAGCAGAAAAAATGATGACAGTGGATCACATGCAGGCTTAGAATCAAGTCTTCTTTTAAGTAGTTTGACGTGCTTGCCTTGACAGCACATATACTAAAATTGAGTAGCCTGAAATAACTTTGCTTTAGTTGAATAGAGAAAGATGATGGTAAATTTAGCTAACTTGAGCCCCAAACCAGAGTTTTATACTTTTTTAAAGTCTAAATTAATCTAAATCTTTACTGGTAAAAATTATATGTTCCAAACAGCAGAGAAAGATCTTTATAAAGAAGAGGAAAAGAGGTAAATTAAAGGGACACCCAGTGTAGAAGCTGTCTGCGTAAAAATGCGGATAATTGACTTTATTTAGCTCTGCCTGTGTGCATTAAGAAATTCAAATTATTCCATATGTGTATCCAACCATTCAAAGCATATTCAAGTCCCACTCTCAAATATCTTGTACGAAGTTTATAGATTCCTATTTCGTCACTTCAGCCCTTGAGCTTAATTTATTTTTTTTAAACATAAGTATGCATTTTAAAAAATGATTACTTGTCTGATTTAGGAAAGTAATGCTTACAATTTATTTCTTTTAAAGGCTTTCTAATTGCTGGAGTTCCAGGTGTTAAATTCAATGGCACTGCCAGGATGTTGAGGGCTGATTAAGTGAATCAGCCCATCTACCACTGGGCAAGTGGGTTGACTTTTGCCTTGGTTTAAATGTGTCTCACTCTCCTGCTTTGTTCTCTTAGAAACCCTCAGCAGGCTGTGGGGGAAAAGGAGACTTCGTGGAGCTGCTGGGAGGTACTGGCCTGGACCCTTCCAAGATGATGCCTTTAGCTGATCTCTGCTACCCCTTTCAAGGCCCTGGTGAGACACTTCAATTGTACTTACGCACCTACTGAGATTAATTCCTTACGTAAAACACTCCTTGTTTTTAATACATTGGGAAGTGAGTTCTTCCTGGAGAAAACTTTCCTTTTATATGTGAATCCAGTAGGAGAATTCTACATTTGAGTCTATGTGCAGGGTCAGAATCTGTTATCAAAATATACAACATTGAGAAAAAAACTACAAAGCAATGTTGATGTATACTTAGGGTTAGTCTTAAATGAAAAAGACAAAGCTTTTCCATTCCACCCATCCTGCTTTTATCCTCTGCAGACTACAAGATTTGTTTGCTAGCTGAAAATCTCATGTTCTTCAGTATCATAGATTAATAGGGAAATAATGAAGTGATAACTAAATAAGTTTTCCACATGTGTTGTATGTGTATGCATTATTCATAGTAATGAAACCACAAAGTGGTAAGATTTTTTCTTAGAACTTCTGTGAACAGCTGACTGTTCCTAACCTTCTGGCTGAGGCTACTGTGATCCAGATGTTAATTCTGAGACCTAAAAGTGGTGACGAATATTTAAAAACTGACTTAGGGCACAGGTGCCAAACAGATCTTCTTTGTCAGGGGCCAGTGAGGATTTTCCATGTGATTATGCTGATATGGAGTGAGGAAGGGTGGGAATCACTGACCCTGTAACCAACCTCATTAAGTATGTTTGCGGACTGGGACCGGGGATTTGACTCCGTGGTTCCGCCGTCTGTCTCGCAAGTGCAAGGGACCCAGTACTGGGGGCGGGGGGGAGTATGTTTGTGGACTGCACAGAACATTCTTATAAGTTTCACTCCCATACCTGTACTTCGGGTCTAGTTATCTTCAGAAAGACAAAAGTAAAATAGAAGATGAAGAACTCAAGATTTCATAGTTCATTATTATGTAGTTCCTTCCTCTCCTGCTACCACAGACCCTTCAACTATAGGTGATTAAATTGCAAAGCAGACAGGCATGTTGATCAGCTGTGGCTGATTTTAATTAAAACTAGATCATCCCAACAATCTTTCCCATCTTTGAGCTAATTCTAGAACCTTGACACAAAACATCTTTGAAACGGAATTGGTATGCACAGATAAGCACTAAGCCTGGCATATATACTGCCAGCCCTGGTACATCTGCAGGAAAGAGGTTTCAGATGATATTTCAGGCAGGACCGGGCCCAAGCCTTCCCATTAAAGTAAAAGCAAAAGGTTTCTAAAAATCCATTTTGCTGAAGACTGGATTTTTTTATACTAATTGATTCTCTTCTAAATTGTTTAGAAAGACAAATTTGTCCCTCCTAGAAGAAGTTAACCTAGGCTCCCCGGTTCTTATATTGAAACAGTTATAAAGATTATATTTATTGTGTTTTCAGGTTATCATTCTTGAATTGTTTCATTTCATTGTAGCCCAGGTACATGTTTGTGAGGTTCTTGTCTCACAAGATGACGCTGATGTGTCTCAGAATTTAGAAATGACTTGTAGAGGGACGGGAAAAGACAGAAAATTAAGACACAGAAAGGATTATTGTAGGGAAGATGAATCTTGGCTCATAAACTGGTTAGGGGCTGGAGAAATAAAAGGAATGCAATTTTTAATAAAAATACTATGAATTTCTATATACACCTTCTCAGATAGACAGGCATGAGAAGAGAGATAATAGCTGTCAGATGCTTATACTGATAATAAAAATATTGAATGTAAGGTGAGTACAAGTATTAGAAGCTATTCCCTATGAGGAATATCTGAAAAAATGAGAGCAAAAAGATGCAGGTGGACCACAGAACAGACTGCTATATTCAGTGTGTGCCTTTACCATAAAAATGACTTTTACGGGTAAAGCAAAATTATTTCCTAGACTCAGGAAATAATGAACAGATAATTTCGTCTGTAGAAACAGCAAGCAGTGTATTCTGACCTGTAGCCCTTGCCCACTAAATGCACTTAGAACTCCTTAGATACAGTGATAAACAAATAATGCCCTGCAAATGTCCGCCCTGTCCCTAGAGGGCAGTGCTGTCCCCAACATGAGCATGACAGCAGAGCGCGGTGCAGGGCTGACCAATCGTCTCTGCTCCCTTTACCACCTCATCAGGAGGTGGTAAAGAAGAGCAGGAAAAAGGCTGGGCAATGTCCCCTTGCCTCTTTCCATTCAGATTTATTTGTTTTGTGCTCAGTTCTCACTGGAGGCAAAGAGCTAAGTCTGATTTCTTGATTCTAGAATTAATTATACGTTATAATAAAAACAAAACCCTCACATCCCCTTGCTTTGCTTGAGTTTAAACTAGCAAGGCAATGGCAATGGTTTGTGTGGCTCTAACTTGCCGGGAAACATATTTTTCCATCATTTATAGCCCAGATGAAAATTGGCTGTGACAACTCTGTGGTGCGCATGGTCTCTAGTGGAAAGCACGTCAATCGTGTGACGTTTGAATATCGCCAGCTGGAACCATATGAACTGGAGAACCCAACTGGAAACAGCATCCTGGAATTCTGCTTGTCTGGTCTTGAAACACCAGCTCCACAACCACCATGCTGCTAGCTAAGTGAATTCTCAAACCTTATTGTACATAATTCTGATGACCAGCTAGTGAAAAGCCTCTCATACCAGTCAGTATTCCCAGCTGTGAACACACACACACACACACACACACACACACACTCACACACATTGAGTTTTGTACCTTGTTTCCTTTTTGTTTGTAATATATTTATGACACATAGGAGAAAATGAGACCCACATGATAAACAACATGTTTTAATTGGAAGTGTTTGTAGTTCTTTGGTATATTGCAAACCTGAACTGATAAGACAGGTGTAAAGCAATAGGCAATGAACACTGGCACCTCAAAGGGAAAATATTACAAAGAAAGCAAAATGGTGGCCTTCATAGTTTTGTTGCAGAAAAAATTTCGAAGTCTTGTGTATGCCGAGGGAGTTGTATTTGTTTATTTTTTGTTTATAATCTTATTTACAATAGGTAGAAGTTGTAACTATTATTTGTAATACATGTTTTTAACAAAACTTTGCAGCATGGAAAAAAACATTCCATCCACAAATATAAATGTGAATAAATATATTCAGAATGTTGGTTCAACATTGTGCTTTATTTGCTTTCCTGAGTGGTCCTGTCCTTTATTACTTTCTGAGGGTAATGTTCCCATGCGGTGCAGAACTAAGCCTCAGGTTTCTTAGAGCTACTGGAACTCTGGGCCACTAGACTAGAAATCTGTGGCACAGAGGGAGATTCATAGTATCTGTATGAGTGGTACAAACTGTTGGTCCTTGCAAGGAAGCAGGGGGTGGACATCTGTGTCCCACCAGATTGAGGGCCTCAACCTTTTTGGCAGCTAGGACTGCTTTCATGGAAGACAATTTTTCCATGGATGGGGCTGTGGGTGTGGGTGGATGGAGGAGACAGTTTCTCTTCTTAGTACTGTATAGTTTTGTGATACATAATAATTACATTCCCCAGCACTAGCATCAATGCCTCAGCTCCAACTCACGCTGTCAGGCATTAGAGTTTCTTAAGGTTCTGGATCTCAGGCGATATGTACAGTTCATAGTAGGTCTATTGCTGTGAGAAGCTGGTGCCCAGCTGATCTGACAGGAGGTGGAACTCAGGCAGTGGTGCCAGCTATGGATGGCTGTAGCACAGTGAAGCTTTGCTGGCTCTCCACCAACTGTGTGGCCTTGTTCTAACAGGCTAGAGCCTAGGACCAGTTCACTGACCTGGGGCTAGAGACCCCTGCTGTAAGGAAACTCAGAATACATGTCTTTGTCACATGGATGTACTTTCCAGCAAGCACAGCAGGAGTTCACATCTCCATAGATGCAATTTATAGAACTCTGAGCACTTCTTTGGGTTGTAAAGAGAGCTTATTGCTGACTGAGCCTTATCGGTGTCTGGCTTGAGATAAAGCATGTGGAATGTAAAGATATCTTGGAGCAAAATGAAGTTCTGAGAAATATTCCCAAGGGAGCCCTTTACTTTGGATTAATGGAAGGAATTTCAAAGTATGCCATAAGTTATGGCCTGATTATAATTCCCAAAACATACTTAATAAAAAGTACATTGGAATGTACTGGAATTCCATATCTTGGGCTTTACAAAATCTAAAAACCAGACATAAGGAACAATACTAACTGAAGCTAGGCGTAGTGGTGCACACCTGTACTCTCACCACTCTGGGAAGCTGAAACAGGAGGATCACAGGTTCAAGCCAAGCTCAGTTGTTATGAAGACACTGTCTCAAAATGAAAAATAAGAAAGGACTTATGCAGCTCAGTGCTAAGGCCCTGGGTTCAGTCTCAGTACTGCAAAACCAAAACCATACAAACAAATGAACAAAATCAAAACCAAAAGTGATGGAAAGTACTATGAATACCTAAAATTTAGCACAAGCTATCAGATGAATGAGTACTTTGGAAGATTACTGCATAAATTTCTGGATAGATAAGTGGATAGATCCATGGACTATATTATTCTTGATCAGTTATATAAAATACTGGATTCCTCCAATCATAAAAAATAAACTATGAGGGCTGCGAATAAAGCTTAGCAGGAGAGAGTTTGCCTAGCCCTGAGTTTGATCATCACCACCAACAAATAAATAATAAATAAATTCATCTTATGAAGTTGAGCCCTTTTGTTACAGCCCCCTTGGCAACCTAAATATCAGGCAGTTCTGGGACCATCAGAAGTTTCTGGCTCTTTAATCCTCAGGACTCCATTATGCTGACAAATGTCATTTTCTAGTGAAGATAAGATAACATCACGACATTCTGCAGTCGTCCATTTTACACCAAAGCGTTTTGGTGCATAATAGCTTATATTCTTTGAGATGACAACCACTCTGGGGGACTGTTAATGTCTTGTCCTTGGAGGTCCATTCCTTGTTCTCCGCTAAAGGGAATGGGCAGTTTCTGAAAACGAAATGGGAGATGAGATCTCTGGGGAGGGTTTCAAGTTGTGTCTTCACTGTCATATCCACTAAGTAAGTGAAAGTTCATATAAAACACCAGCCACATTTTGCTAAGAAATGCATCTAGGGTACTGGTTAACATCATCTACTCTGGAGCTCATCTTTCAATCATCTTTCAATCCCTGCTCTTCCACTTCCTCTGGAAAGTCACTTATGAATTCTCAGTTGCCCAGTTTTTAATATGTAGAATGGACATCATCAAGGTGCATTTTCCATAAGGCTTTGGTCAAGATTAAATACCTAAATACAGTAAAACTTTGGCTTGCAAGAATGATTCATTCCAGAAATGCTTGTAATCCAAAGCACTTGTATATCAAAGGGAATTTCCTTATAAGAAATAATGGAAACTTAAGTGATTTGTTCCACAGCCTAAAATATTTATATAAAAAGATTATATTACTGTAATACAAAGTAATAAAGAAAATACAAAATATAAAGAAAAATGAACAACTCCACCTGCACTTACCTTTGAAAACCTTCATGACTGGTGTGAGGGAGACAAGAGAGAGGAGGATTATTGTATAGGACAACTTTCACAATTTAATAGAATCACTGGTACCTATCAGCTCAGTGGAATCTTTCTTTTTTCATGCAAATTTAACAAGGAACCTATCCAGTGACATTTGCTTTTGCCTTCTTTTTGAGGATTCGTGGAAATGGGATACTGCATTGTCATTACAAAGATTCATCATTTGCACTCTACAGCCTTATTCAGGTGGTGCTTTTCCACAAAATTTCTAAGTTCCTACATTTTACACGTCTCCCTAATCTCACTTGAAGAGAGCGATTCCTCCACCTTTTTCTCCTCCTCCTTCTCCCCCTCCTGCATAGACAAGATCTCTATTAACTCTTCCTGTTGGGAATGAACACCCATCATCCCCAGGGATTGGGAAGAGGAGCCATTGGCTCAGTTGTGATCATGTGACATTTGGCATCACATACTACTCATATTGCAAGACACCACTTGTTTATCAAATTAAAATTTATTAGAAAATTTTGCGCATCTTGCAGAACAAGTTACTTGCAATCCAAGGTTTTACTGTTAATTTAAAGCTCGAGAACTGTGCTTTGCACATATTGCTTGTTATTTTTATTATTCTATTTTACTATGAGTAAATGTGCCATCCCGGGTCCTCTGTATTCTTGAGAAGGAGTGAGCTCTGTGCTTTGGTGAGTTTGCACTGACTCAGTTATGCTGTTTCACCCCAGGATGAGGACATGAGTGGTGGTGACTGTGACTGAGAAGCTGAGATAGGTTGCTGGTGACATCTGAGGATGGGTCAAGCCAGGTCTCATCTGGCTCCCATGTGCCTCTTCTTACAGCTGACATCAGCAGGCTCTGCAAGGCTGCAGGACCAGTCTTGACCTTGAACAGCTCTTGTCTGATGTGCTGGTCATGTACAAATCACCTCATAGTCTGCTTTGCATGTGCCCTCCTGCTTGCTCCCCTTCACTGTAATCTTCCTGCATCTGGGTTATTTCATTCTAGCTGTCACTCAACTAAGAAGATCCTCACTGGACTTTGTGTGAATAAGAAACTTTTATATTGTTAAGCCAGTAAGGCATAAAAATATCTCTATGTAATTGAATGTTGCCATATTGTACACAGTGGGCATAAGTCTGACTTTCAGCTAGTCTACAGCTAGTTGCTTTCCTACTACAACTATTCAAACTTTCCAGCAGGCCCAACTCTTTTCCAAAGAAAAACACTTCAAATGCACATTTTTGATCTCATGAATACCAAGCTTTAATTGATATAATTGTATCCAAATTTCTCATATCCCTTAAATAATATTGTAACAGTGACTCTTCGACTTCTTTGAAAATCTTCAGATTGTCTCTCTCTCTCTCAAAAAAAATAAAGTGTCCACATAAAGGAATACATCTCCATAGTGTCTGAGAGTTCACAGATGCCTGCAGCTCACACAAGGGTCCAGAATAAGGGCCCCATTCTCAGTGTAAATAATAATAAAAGTCAATTTTATTGTAGTCTTCTCCTTCTGAGTTGTCCTCTCTTCAGTGTTAGTTAAAAAGATCCACCAATTTGGCTGGAAATGGGTCTATAATAGAGAGTTAGTGCCTGTGTGTCTCTACATAACCATGCAATTTTGGCTTTTACTAGACAAATATTCTTCACCTGCCATATAGTTTTTGCCACAGGAAGGAAATATATCTGACAGAGACAAATTTTGGTGACAAAGATCTTTCTGCATGTCTCCCAAGTGAAAATTTTCCTTTCCTGCTCTTTTAACAGGAAGATTCTGTTGCCTAGGTTTGGTTGCAAGTAGAATCTTCAAGAAAGGGGGAAAGATTTTGATGGACAGGATTTACTTGTAGGTAGTTTGTTTATGTGCTCAAAAGTGCCTACTGGGGAGTTGTGGAGAGCCCTCTTATTATTACAGGGTAATCATATGAAATTATATCTGAGTACCTCTTCCCTGTGCAGAGCAGCTTCGCAGAGCAGAGATTGGGCTTTTTAGGTTTAAATAAGCAGGTTGAGTGGCCTCTGTTCTATGAGCTCATTGGTGATGATTACGGTCCATTTTTCTCTTCGCAT